GAGCAAACGCTTGTAGAATTACGAACATCCCTGTTCAGCCGTCCCTTACTCTGCCTTTGCCTCAATTATTAAAAAAATTTTTTTTAAAAATTATAGCCAACCAGAAAACCGGCAGAAGGAACAGTAGAACGCACGAAATCGATAGGGGAAGAAAAAGGCACAAAGGAGTGTAAGAGGCCATGTATAATCTGTCAGGCGCGATGACAATAGATCAGCATGTCAACTTATGGAGCCGAACGCATAAACAATCGTAGATCAAAATCAAGAAACCTTGGAAGCAAGTTTAAGTAGGAAATACACTATAATTAGAATTTAAACGTTGATTGAATAGGCACCCTGCCTGGAGGCCATTACGGTATCGTCGGACAGTACACTTCGTTCAGGGTGTTTCAGTATTCAGAGCATTTAATGTGTTGTTGTTTGTTGAGATGATCGTCTTGATCCCTTCACTCAACAATGAAGTCTACTTTTGCGATACCCGCCTTAAGTTTCGCGATATAGCGGCTATTGCATAGTGGAAAGAACAAATACTACCTGAAAACAAATTATCTCAATCTTTTCATTCATATTGCATACTCCGTTGGCTATTCCTAATATAGCAGCAATAAGCACAGCTCATCCGCGATCTTTCCGTTGTTTATTATATGATCTTATATGAATATTCAGCTCAGCTTTGACTTTACGTACTAGCTCTAAGACTGTCTTAAAACTGTTTGAGGTATTCACTGCAATGCCGGCCTCCTATGCCCCCTGCATCGGGGCGTACTTCCACAAATGAGTTTATGTGTTCTCAGAATTATAGACTTCTGCTTTCTTCCTGAACAGCGCAGCTTATTAGTCGGAAAAATTTGAGGTTAGTGATTTCAGCCAATAGAGGAATAGGAGGCATGAGTAACGAAAATATTGGAGACATAAACGTAAAATAAATATCTCATGTCCTTTGGATATGTAGCAAGTTCTAAAATTTGAGGGATTTCTGAGAGTACGTCGGTCAATGTTAGTTTGCCGACTGTAACAAGACACGTTCAGCCTTGCTTTTTTTAATGGCACAACAAAAAGCGTTGTTAATATGATTATAATTACGATTAGTGGCCCCGTACTTTGTCGTAGGTTACCTAATTCATGATCACGTTTGCTCCACTGCGATGGGCGTTGATGCAACTGTGGTGATGACGTGTTGTGTTGCACTCCTCCCCACATTGGCGAAGTGGCAATCCATTCATTTTTCACTGAGGAGTGATTGTTTCATTTGACACAGTCGGACATTGCAACAGCTTATGGTGTTTCTGCGAGGGCATCGAAGGAATAAAAGCTCCTGACACACTGTTCGTGACGATTGCTAGGTGGCTGTAGCGGAAAAATGGTCCGAGATGCATTTGACACCGCAGACGCTCAAATGCCATGGAGCCGTGGCTTCTTTTAAATGCACTCCTAGTCAGCTAACATCAAGGGGGTGGTGCAATACGACGTGAAATGTGGTCTTGGAGGAGTCATTTGTCACGTTTCACTTAAGGCGTAGGTACCTGCACCTCCCATGTCTTGTGCGAACATGGTGCGGTATTGGTATGGTACTGGTATGGCACTGGTCAACATGGTATGGTACTGGTCATTGTCGTTCCACACAATCGTTGAGTTTTCTTGACTGAATACTCAGCGCTTGCCGTTGTTTCTCATCAGTATATTGTCTACGTGCCCAACACGCTTACCGACCAGAAGAATCAACTGAAAGTGAAATCGTTCTGCCCTCATCCACTTCTGGGTTGGAATTTAGTTTTAGTTTGTCGACCATGGTGAGGAAACGTCCATTCGTAGAGCAACCGAATTCAATGTAAACTTGGATGGGTACTGTTTGGATGGCTAAGAAGAGTAATTGACTTCATTTAAGTTCTACAAACAGAACTTTGGCATTCTCTGTCAGTAACTGAACAAATGCAGATTCACGCCCCCCTCCCAGCTACTAGCATTCATTTACATATATATACAGTGGTGATGTCATGGTGCCACTCCGCCGGTTTTACCGTAGGTTTGGGGTCAGCAGCTGTCATGCCAAGACAGTAAGTTACGCACTAGTCAGACCCTTCCGGTTCAGCTCCAACATGCTGTTAGCGTCCTCTATAGTAAGAGCTGACGACGGTCATGTAGAAAGCACCAATTGAGAGGATGTTTCCGAAAGTAGCAGTTGAGTATGTCGGTCGGTCGTCTTCTTCCGCCTGGGCCACGGCTACTCTGAAAATACCGCTATAGGTTATCCCGAAGAAGCTGGCGAAAAAACGTGGACCGTTGGAGCTGTGATTGTCCCACGGCACGGTATCGAAACGAGTGTGCGTTGAATGACAACGGCGACGGTTGAGGCGAGTCGGCGGAGGGCGAGGGTGAGGACGAGGACGTTGGTGATTGGAATCGTGCTTGGCGACGGTTAACGAGGACGACGATTTTGGTGGCCGGCCGGCTGGTCTGTTGGCCAGCAAAACA